TGTATACTGAAAATATGTAGATAGAAAAATTTGAAATATTAACGAATAACCCAAAGTACGAAAAATCAATGAAACAAACTAACACCAACAACCAATGTATATATATATATATACATGCGTTTTATAAATATATGATTTAATTGTGAAATAATTCAATGGAATAATAACTATTATAACTCTTAAAATAATTAAAAAAATAATAAAAATAATAATAATTATAAAAGTAATATTATTATTATTATTATTATCATTATGGAAATTATTTTCCATTTTATAAAATACAGACAACATCTAAGTGAACGGACGATGCTGATTTTAAAATACTGATTAGTAATAATGTAGTGACAACAGCAGCAGCAACAACAACAACAATAATAATAAAAATAGTAATAATAATAATCGGATGGATTGAAAAGAATTGAAAGTGATTCAACCGTTCTTTTTTTCAATAAACATTAACACAGGAATGATATTCAATTATGACGATGGGGATGATGACGTTGATGATGATGGTGATGGTTGTGATGGTAGTAGTGGTGATGAAGTTGATAATGATGACGATGGTGGTCGTGGTGATGATGATAGTGGTGCCAAAGTATGAATGATGGTAACGATTATAGTGATGTTGATAGTGAATGAATGAATGAATGAATGAATGAATGAATGAATGAATGAATGAATGAATGAATGAATGAATGAATGAATGAATGAATGAATGAATGAATGAATGAATGAATGAATGAATGAATGAATGAATGAATGAATGAATGAATGAATGAATGAATGAATGAATGAATGAATGAATGAATGAATGAATGAATGAATGAATGAATGAATGAATGAATGAATGAATGAATGAATGAATGAATGAATGAATGAATGAATGAATGAACAAACGAATGAATGAACAAACGAATGAATGAACAAACGAATGAATGAACAAACGAATGAATGAACAAACGAATGAATGAACAAACGAATGAATGAACAAACGAATGAGTGAAAAAAAAATGAATGAATAAAGAAAGAGCGAAAGAAAGAATGAGTGAAAGAATAAAAGAAAGTTCATTATGGTTTTATTTGTTTGTTTTTCATATGGTTTTAAGCTCGGTTTAATTATGCTCGTTCTATGGAATACATGATGATGACGACGATGATGGTAATGATGATAATGAGGACGATGATGATGAGTATGATGAATTAAACCTAAACGACATTAACAAGTAACAACGAGGGTATGATGATGATGATTACGACGTCATAATGATGATGATGACGGAGATGATAATGATGGTGATGATAGTGATGATGATCGAGTGAGTGAGAAATGAGGTGAAAAATAATCAACAAGATGTCAACGAATGTCGGTCGGGTACATTCTTAGGTCGAATCATTTCGGATATTTCAGGAATCGTTATCTCGTTCGTATCGACCGTTTTGTTGTCTTGTTGTTGAGGCTGTTGTTGTTGTTGTAGATGATGATGACGATGTTGATGATGATGATGGAGAATTATGATGACGCATTCATTGAAACAATGCTTTCGGCCTGAATAAAAGAAATTATTTGTGTGGTTTTTTGTTGTATGATTTTTTCGAATAGAATGTAATGACTATGTGAAATCATTTAATAATTAACGAGTTTGTAAAAATAAATTCACATGCATTCACACACCACACACACAAACATACACACACACACAAACACACACACGCGACATACATACACACTTACATGTGATAATAATTATTTGTAAACCATAAAAATAATTGTTGTTTATATCATTCATTTGAGTTTAAAACAATTATCATCATTTCTTTCAATTGTCTTATCTTGATGTTGTTTGAATCGCTTTGTATCTTTTATTTATTTATTGTTTTTATTGTTTGTTTGTTTGTTTGTTTGATTGTTTGTTTGTTTGTATACAAGTTTGTTTGTTTGTCCACAAGTTTGTTTTGTTTTTTATGTTTTTCTAAATTAAGTAGTTTTCAACTTTTGTTTGAGACATGTTTGGTGGAAAGATGTAAGAGAGCACGTACGAGCCCAGATCATTGTGTTTTTTTTTATGAAATTGTTAGTTACGATTGTTCTATAGCGCTCGTTTTCAGGCACTTAAGTTTGTTTTATTTGTGTACGTTTGTAGGTTTGTTTGTTTATTCGTTTGTTTGTATGTTTGTTGACTTTTTTTGACTTTTTTTGACTTTGTATATAGTTTGTTTGTTTGTGGTGTTGTTGGCCAAATAAAATTTCGTTTTGTTCCGTTTCGTTGATAATATGTTTAATTAAATTCGTATGTTTCAAGTGTGTACGTTTGTTTTTGTATATTTATACATTATTGTATGTCTGTTTATGTTAGTCCGTTTGTATGTTTTTGTATGCGTGTCTGTGTTTGTATGTTTTTGTATATTTTCATTCAGTTTTATGACTGAACACAACAACAAGCATCTCCCACAGTTTTTTAATTATAATTAATTTCCCTACTTTCAAAAAAAATCACGCAAACCATATACAGAGATTAACCTAGTAACCTAATAACCAATAATAATCATATGACCCGGTGACCCCGTGACCCGGTTGACCTTGACCTGCTTACCTCACCGTGTCACTTCAATGATCTTTCCGCTGATGGCCAGCATGGCTCGCCTGACCACTGGAGCGTTGATGTTGATGATGATGTCGTAGCATTTTAGGTAGCGATATATCTGGCGGTGTGTTTCATTCATTGACGACACATAGATACAGACAAGATACATAGATACAGACAAGATACATAGATACAGATATGATACATATATACAAACAAGATACATAGATACAGACAAGATACGTAGATACAGATATGATACATAGAAACAGATAAGATACATAGATACAGATATGTAACCACCAAACATATCAATCAATCAAGCAACCAACCAACCAACCAATCAACCAACCAACCAGCCGACCAGTAAACCTGCCGACCGGCCAACCTTGTAACAAGGGGCAGACAGCAACCAGCATGGCCACATAAGGACGCACCAGAGAGCGTTGCACTCAAAAATATGCAACTGCTTGTCGAAGTTTGTTATATAGAGGTACGCTCTGTGTGATTTTAAACGGCAGCTACTACAATAGCCACTCGGGTAGTACGTTTTTAACCAGCGATCGATCGCTAAGCCAAAGTTTATCTGTGTATGTGTGAGTGTGCGTGTGTGTGTGAGTGTGTCTGTGTGAGTGTGCCTGTGTGTGTGCGTATGTGTGTGTGTGTTTGTGTGCGTGTTAACAATTATGATCTAAGTGCAATTGTGATGCGAGTTCTTATCCTGATAGCAAATATAATGATGTTGTTGTCGGATGAAATGATGGAGGTGATATCAGCACTGATAAATTGATGATATAACGGTGATAGTAATAGTTGTAGTAGTAATAGTAGCATAAAGGCATAAATTAACCAAAAAACTTAAATAAATAATCAATTAATTAATTAATTGATCGATTGATTGATTGATTGATTGATTGATTGATTGATTGATTGATTGATTGATTGATTGATTGATTGATTGATTGATTGATTGATTGATTGATTGATTGATTGATTGATTGATTGATTGATTGATTGATTGATTGATTGATTGATTGATTGATTGATTGATTGATTGATTGATTGATTGATTGATTGATTGATTGATTGATTGATTGATTGATTGATTGATAGTCTTAATCTAACTTGGATACAAAATCTTCCTTGTGATTGGATGATTTTTCTGGCCTGTTCGAGGGCTCGCTCGAGTTCCGGCCGTATCATTGGATGGGATGTGTCGACGAGAAGGGCAAGGTCATCTGCATATTAATTAGTCTCATTTGAATATTCATTAAATTAGTATGCACATTATTTAAGTATTTGTGCAATAATAATAATAACAATAATAACATTAATAATAACAATCATAATAATTCGGGAAAAATCCGCCATCATTTACCTAAGATCAAGAACAAAAATACAAAAAGTGTTATATAAATTGATGTTTTTGTTGTAATCTGAGTTTTGTTATTGTTGTAACATTAGTATTGTTATCGTGTGTGCGTGTGCGTGTGTGTGTGCGCATGTGTGTGTGTGTGTGTGTGTGTTAGTTAATGGAATATTAGTGTGACCGTGCATGTATGTGTGTGTGTGTGTATGTACATGTGATTGTATGTTGTTTGTGTGTGATTCGTTGGTTGCTGTTTGCTGTTGCGAAAATAATATTAGTATTGTTGTTACGTGTGTGTGCGAGTGTGCGTGTGTGTGTGTGTGTGTGGGACTAAAGTAAATAGAGAACTTGCGAATGTTTACATGGTTTGGTCTGGATATGTTTGTTCAGTTAGGTGTGCTTTGCTAGCCTATGACGCCATATAATGCAGTCATTATGAATGAGTGAATGGATAAATGAATGAATGAGTGAATAAATGAATGAATGGGTGAATGAGTGAATGATGAGTTTCTTTCATAATATTTATAAGGTTTCTATAGCAAATCCATAAAGAATCAAAAAGAGTCAACAAAGAGAGGAATGACTAAATGATCGAGAATAGAAATAAATGAATAAGAAAGAAGTTAAACGGTTGAATAAATTTCAATGATGGAGTGAAGTGAAAAAGAATGAATGCTTCAGCCGCTCGATCGCTCACTCACTCACTCATCCAGACATCTGTACACGGTGGAATTAAAGTTCTTCGTTATCGGCAGCAGCGGATAAACGAAAGACGCAAAATAAAAATCACAATAAAAAAATTATAATAATAACAATAACAATAATTTTATTATTATTATTATCATTATTGTCGCTGCCTTTGTTATTGTTGTTATTTTCGTGGCACTAATAACAGTTGTTAGCTCGAGTGCTATTGAGCATTTGTCTTATATGCTACTACTACTACTACTACTGCTGTTGCTACTACTACTACTCCTACCACTATTACTACTACTGCTGCTTCTGCTGCTATTATTACTATTGTGTATGTATGTGTGTGTATTCGTATATATGTGTTGATGTCTTTATGTATATATTTATGTATGTAAGTATGTATTATTATTATTATTATTAGATTATTTATATATAAAGCGCCCTTTATTGTTCTCAAAGGCGTTAACAATGTAAAAGTTGATTAAATCTTCGGTCCCATAACAGCGAAATCTTTGCTGAACGGGCAACCAATGAAGATTGAAGAGAATAGGAGTAACATGATCAAAATATGAACCACCAGTTAACAACTTGGCAGCCCGATTTTGAATTAATTGTAACTGTGCAACATACTTTTTGGGTAAACCGTAGAATAAACTGTTGCAATAATCAATCCTCGAGTGAATGAACGAGTGAATTAAACGTTGCAATGTATGCATATTTAGAGATCCTTTGATGAATTTCAATTTTCTCAATTGGTAAGTACATTCTTTCAACAACAACTTTATGTGCAATTGCATTGTCATGTTTGTATCAAAAATAAATCCAAGATTTCGTGCTGACGCACAAAATTCGATGACAGATTCCTTTATTCTGATATGTATATATGTATGCATGTAAGTAAGTATGTATGTGTGTATATATGAATGTATGTATGTAAGATGTATGTGGAAACTCTAACATAACGATCACTGAGGGAGTCTTTAGAAAAAAAGTTTCCGTCAACGAGTGTTTCGGCCCTTTAACTTCTTGACACTCTCGAGAAACAGGGCCACAACCAGAGATCAGTTGGATGTCTCTTGTTAAACAATGTGCTTCGCTTTTATATCATTTCCTTCTATACTGAAAAAGTGTGAAGGTGTGCCAGACAGTTCACATATAAACATATCACGATGTAAGTTATATCGACGAGCCAAGTAAGCCGGATCTGGGAGTGTTGAAAAATCGGAAGCCTTACGTGCATACAAGCTCATCTGTTAACTATTTAAACTCGCGTCACTTTTTTTTCCTACGTAACTATATCCAGTAAGACGCTTGCTCGGCTGTATGTCCTTCCAACAGTTCGATCGCCTTTTACCTGCCAAACCCAAATCCTTCAAAAAGAATTTGCCTCGTCACAAACATTGAAAATGTGTTCCACTAGTATTTTTATTTTCAATACTTTAATAAGTAAGCATGTATGTATGTATGTATGTATGTATGTATGTATGTATGTATGTATGTATGTATGTATGTATGTATGTATGTATGTATGTATGTATGTATGTATGTATGTATATATATGTATGTATGTATGTATGTATGTATGTATGTATGTATGTATGTATGTATGTATGTATGTATGTATGTATGTATGTATGTATGTATGTACGTACATCTCTTACTGCAACGTAGTCTGGGCTGGTACCTATCGCACGATCACCGATCCGATCCGATTAATAATGAAGAGGGCAGTACGGCTAGTTACATCATCAACAAAGCAATCGCACACGTTGCCATTATTTTTGTCAACGAAAAATTTGAATTTTGATCAGGTGAATGCCTACTTCACGGCTAATTTTGTCTACAAACAACTGACAAACAAGTTACCATCAATATTCAATCATTACTACACTTGCAGCAACAACAAGAGACAAAATTACATTAGATCAAATTCATCAAAAACAAACATTCTCTTCTTCCACGTATATTGCAAAGGACCAAGAATTTGGAGTTTGCTATTAAAGAACAACTTTAAAATTGACTCAATGTCTGATGTTAAATTTAGGCAGAAACTGAAAAATTTTATTTTAAACTTAAGAATTAAGTTCTGTTGATTTAGTCAAAATAATTTAGTTATATGAGGTTACATTTTCCTGAATATTCTTACCATTTGTTGTTTTATTTGTGACAGGGTGGCTGTGCAAGATGAGCTCATCACGAGCTCGATCATAGTCATCATCCTGCCTTCTTGATTGTCATTTTGGGAAGCAAATAAAATATTCCTTTCGTTTTGTATGTATGTATGTGTGTATGTATGTATTTCATACATTACATACATATATTACATCACATTTCTCTTTAACTTTTAGAACAATGTATATATATTTATAATTCTATATATTGCTTAAATATATAGATAACTATGTAATGTCTATCCCGTGTTTTTCTGGATAGATACCAAACATTGTTATACATAAACCATGAACCATCGTACTAACAACTAACACCTGTTTTGCTAACATAGTTGAGTTTGTTAATTTACTAACAACTAACATCTAACATACCTCTCATAGATCATTTAGGGAAAATTTTTATTATTTGCTGAAAATTTGTGTGAACATGGAACATTTCTGTTTAGGTGGCCATACTAGATGAATTTCATATAAATTCTATTATGGTCATCCTGCTTTCTTTTAATTTTCAATTTTGAGAAGCAAATAAATAATTTCGTTTCGTTTCGTTTCGTATGTATGTATGTATGTATGTATGTATGTATGTATGTATGTATGTATGTATGTATGTATGTATGTATGTATGTATGTATGTATGTATGTATGTATGTATGTATGTATGTATGTATGTATGTATGAATGGATAAATGAATGAATAAATGAATGGATAATTGAATGAATGAACGAATGGAAAAGGAAATTACATAATCTTTTGACATTTGGAGCCGAACAACAACATCTGCTTGTATTTTTCTCACACGGGATGAAAACGGAAAGGGAAAAAAAACCAAATAATACAAAAAAAACTAACAAACATAAACAAATACACACACACACACACACGCACACGCAAGCACACACACGCACACACACGCAAGCACACTAGGTAACATACGCAATACATGCACTTACTAGCAAGCAAAACACACATACACTTTTACGGTTGTACATATTAACATACACATACAAACAAACAAAACTTTCTTTCTCTCTATCTCTCTTTCTATCCTTATTTTATTTCTTCCTCTCTCTCTCTCTTTTCTCTCTCTCTCTCTCTCTTTTCTTTCTCTCTCTCTCACACAGATACATACGCACACATACATATACACACAAAATACTGTTAAACTTTCACTCAACGTCATTTTTCTACCGGCAAGCAACCTTGACATTTGAACTTCAACCTTTTTTCTATAAAATCCCCGATCTGATTTAAATATTCACAGCTGTAATAGTAAAAAAATTATTATTATTATGTTAATATTGTGGTAATCACTATCACATTATTATTACATATTTAATGTTAGTTCTTCATTCGAACAACATAAATTCATCACTATTATGCCCATTAACAGTTTTTATTACTACCATATTAACATTAAAAATATTACAATTATTCTTATTATTATTCCTCTCCTTCCTCTTTTTCTTCTTTTTTTCTTCTTTTTTTTCTTCTTCTTCTTTTTCTTCTTCTTCTTCTCCTTCTTCTTCTTCTTCATCATCTTCTCCTCCTTCATCTTTTTCTTCTTCTTCTCCTTCTTCTTTTTCTCCTTCTCCTTCTTCTTCTTCATCATCTTCTCCTCCTTCATCTTCTTCTTTTTCTTCTTCTTCTTCTCCTTCTTCTTCTTTTTCTTTTTCTTCTTCTTATTATTATTCTTTTTGTTGTTGTTGTAGCTCCTTGCATAGCGTCACGGAATATAAATGTGTAACTGGAGTTAAGCTCCTGGCTCTCCCGCTGCTTAGAGGTTATAGTCGCACAGTATTATTATCACTGTTGTTGTTACTGTTATTAACGTTGTTTTAGTTATTATTAATATTATTATTATCTTTATTATCTTTATTATTATTATTATTTTTATTTTTATTATTATAATTATTATTTTTATTATTTATTATTATAACCATTAGTCATAACTACTACGAGCTAGCAACATTAAAAAGTATTTGTCGGAATAATAGACGATTGTAACGAATACAATACATACACTCTTACAATTAAAGGAGCATACTAAAAATACACAGACATACCATGCATACGCATACACACACACACCACACACAAACACCACACACACGCACACACACACAAACTACTCACTCTCGAAATAGATGTCGGGCTGAACCGCCCCCACGTAGTCGTTTTTAAAAAATTCTGCCCATACCCTCATCAACAACGGAACGCCCATGATCTGCTCATAGAATGATTCCAGGTCCTCCACTGAGTTTATGTTTATCTGGCTGGATTGTTTTTTTGTTTGTATGTATCTTTGTTTGTTTGTAAGTATCTT